CCACGACGTGCATGACAGAGAGGCTGCACAGACCGTAAATGTCTAGCCAAGAGGCCACTCAAATGCCCAGACAAGGAGACCCAAATCCATGGAAATTAGTCGAGGGCACAGCAGAAAGATGGGAGCGTCGCCAATTTTCTGATATGCCCCGATAGCTCCTCTCCCATGGCCAGGGGAAAGGTCTGAGTGTCAACAACAGCCACAGGGCCACGCAAGAGCACAGTACTGGTAGGGGCATATGAAAAATATTCAGGCGCAGACGAGGCCAGGGGTTTTCTGGAAACATAATTCGCTTGTCAGAGGGGTGCGACAGGGTAAGTTCGCCGTCAAAGGGGCACGCCCCAAATTAATAGAAATTTAAGGGGCATCTCAAAATGTTTCCCTTACTTATTTCTAAAACATCATGACGGTGCATCTTTCCATGCTCTTGCGGAAGATTCACTCTCCATTTGCAGATGTCGAGAGTAGTGGAGCTAGGCCCAATTGAAAGTACTGAGTCGCGGACCGAGGCCCCTGAATGCCAGGCTATCTTGCACCTTCCTTTCTTTTGTYGTTTTCTCACCGCTCCAGGCCCTTCCCTCGACACGTTGTTAGCGTCTTTTTTTTCCCCAAATGGCCTCGCCTCACCATCATCGCTGTCGACGGGTCTCCCCACATGACACTCGAAATGTGGAAGAGGCAAAAATGTGGAGGGTACATCTGGCCATCATGGAGGGGGAAGTTCGTCCTCGGTTTGCAGATTTGGAGAGTGGGGTGGCGATGCCCGAAAACGCTTTTCTTTTTTCTTTTTTCTTTTTTTTTTTGAAGAAGAAGAAAACGCGTTTTTCGACAGGAAGGCCTCGCCACACATGCTGTCCGCAGGACGCCAGTCGTATCGAAATATATAGCTGTCAGATAATTCTTTTTTGTTTTGTTTCCAGAAAACCTGTYAATTGAATGTCAGAGAATCCTTTTCGACGATCCGCAGTTCCAGYTCTATTCTGCAGAGGGCCGAAATTTGGGCATTCCCCAAAAACAGAAGAATAAAATACAAAAAAAAGGGAAAAAAAGGTGCAAAATGAGAATGAATATCCAGATCCAGCGGCCTAGCTCAGTTGGTTAGGCACACAAGTGSCATTCAGGAGGTTGTGGGYTCAAGCCCCATGGCCGCMTGCGGCGCACTTAGTGCCAACGGACTGTGGTAGGCCTCTGGATACCCCTGATCGGTATTAGCGGGGTCTATGACCACCACGGGYGTCAGTGCGGGCGCGAGTGCGTTGTGTGTGGTGTGTGGAGAATGTTGGCCATAGCCTCTGCTGCTACTCTATGAGGGGTGGGGGACGATGAGAAAGGGAGGCGCAGCTACTGGCAAAATGCTCGGTCTATGCGTTGACGAAGCCG